TGAGTGGGTCCCCGTGCCCCTTCGTTAAACGAAGGAATCAATGCCCCCATTTGATTGAGCCTTGAGAGAGAAATTTAAATGCTATGACACTATTATATTTATTTTATAATTTTTTTTTCAGTGTCACGTGGATTCTATATTATTTTTAATACGATATTGACGTGACAAATAACAAATGAAAGAAATATCCGTTGGATTTGTAAGCTAGAGACGTGAATGATCATGGGTATATAAGAGATGACAATTATCTCCATTGGGATGGAGTCTTTTAGGTGAAATAAAAAACAAAACCATGAGGACTATGCTCAAAACGAACAATATCATATCATGTAGTATCAAAATTTGTTGAGAGGCACGTGCATTTTCTTTTTTTATTTTTATCATCTCCTTAGTTACGTTGCACTATTTTCTTTTGAGATTGAAAATCTTAGGAAAGAATTAATATATAATATATGATTGAATTAGGTATGTTTGGTAGTGAAGGTAGGATGAGTGATTCTGAAAAAAAAAAAGATTTAATTAGAATCGATTTCCAAAATCAACATCTAAATAATACCTTAAAAGTTAATTTAAAGTGATTTTAAAATTTTCTAAAATCAATTTTTCAATTTGCGAAATACGATTAATGGRAGGGAATTGATTTTGACCCGGTCAAAATTACCCCAAACACACTATTAAAAAGGTTAGTCCTAGTCAATCTGAAATTTAAAAAGTTACATATCAAATAATGACTTAAGACTTTTTTTTTTTTTTCCTTTCAATTTTGGGTTACATAAACGAAATTCAACGAAATACCACCTATAGTTTAATTAATTTGTAGTATTTGATATATTTTGAGAGTTTATCGTTGGTTTCATGCTTTTGTATATTCAATTAATAGCCATTAATATTTATAAATATACTATTCTTTGAAACGTGTGATGCACGTTGACATGTAAGTTTTACACGCAACCTAAATATATGTTCTTATTTTGGAGGTTAATAAGAAAACTGCATCTTTAAGCATTTTTAATTTCTTACAGGATTAGAGAGGCGATTTAGTAATTATATTCATCGTTTCCTTTTTCATGGCAACTAATATATAATGCAAAAGTTGCCAATAGAAAATAGTTTCGACTTGAAAAAAAATTATTAAATTTGATTGACATATACATTTTGAGTTTAATAAATATATTCTCATCTCACATATATATCTTGATGAATATCGAAAAAAAAAAAATATAAGATGAAAGCACACTCATGAAAGTTTGGAGAATAAAAGATTAAAATTCCTATAAACAAGAAATCCAAAGTGTATATATATAATCTAAGTTTCAAGTTCTGAAATTTTCAAAATATTTATACTTCTTTTCTCTGGGGAAGACTGTTCCAGCAATATTTATATATTTGCTTAGGGCGATAGAAAAATTTGGAAAGAAAACTTCTTCAATAAAATATCACATATTTTGTAGAATATTAAAATAGTGATTTTTGTATTAAAGAAATGGTAAAGAGGAGGGGGAATAATACTGGATTAATGGCAGTTCTTTTCCGTTAGATGCCCATACAGTGACGTTATCCTAATCCAATCCTCAATTAATAAAATATATAAAGTAGGTATGACGTATGCGATTCATGTACAAATGAATTTATTTCACTGTTTAGTTTATATATTTAGGAGTTACCATGTAAATTCGTTTTCTTATTTAGCATACATTTGAAACTGGCGAGCTAAAAACTAGATATCCTAAATTTGACTTATCTTTTTTCTCATTATTCATTAATTTTCTTTTTAAATTATATTTCAATTAAATCATGAAACTACATTTACGTTTCTTCGACAAAACGGGTTGCAGTTCGACTAGGTCTGGTCGGCAGTCGATTGGATTCTGGATGTTCGATCATCATCTCGAATGTTGGAATAGTACAAGGGATCAGACACTTTGACGGTCAATCAGTTTCAGACATGACTTAGATGAGAGGCAGAGCTAGAATATCATATCTGTATTTATAGGTTTATGAATACTATTGCCGTCTGACAAGTGGTTTGGGAGTTGGTGTATCCAATCGCAGGTGGTTAGGGGCATGCGTAATCGGAAGGCTTTTCGACCATAGCTTCCTTTCAAGTTGCTTCTTCCTGATTGTTCATTTTCGACCTTCCAAACTGGAACTGTGGACTCCAGTTCACTCCTCCACGTGGGGAAATATATATATTATTTTTTACTGAAATTAACTCTAGGGGATTTTTTTTAGTACAAGTGAGTAAAATTACTAAGCTTTTAAACGATAATAAAGATTCAATTTATTATTGTTATTATTTTGTTGCAAAAATATAAAGATAAAATTTCTACTAAGGAGGGCATTGTGTTTCTACTAAGGAGGGCATTGTGATTTGATTTTGTTTAATTTTAGATGGAATTATTTATTGATGTAATTTCTGAGAAGAATGAACCCAAATCAAACTATGAGAATCTAAGAAAACAAATCAATGAATTAGGTTTTGGTCAATGTTCCATTTCCCATATTTTTCTATCAATCCAAACATATACTTTATTTAAAACTTTTTAAAGTACAAAAAAATTCGATGTGAACTATCCAAAAATATTTTGGGTTCAGACTACAAAACACAAATTGTTATTATATTTATTTATTTATAATTTTTGAGATAATTGTTATTTGTTTGAATATTCGTCAATAGGTCGAAATTTTCATGTATCAATAGATTTGAAATTGACATGAGAGATAAATCGATACTTTTATCATATTAAAAAAATCGACAAAATATAAAAAAATATTAGCAAAATCTCACTAATATATATATATAATATTAAAATCTACTATTTTTTACTTATTTATAAATAAAAATATTTATTTGTAAATTTAAATACTTTTTACCATTTTTAAATTTCTCTTTAACTTTAACGTCGATATTTTCATAAAATTGAGGCATCGACATTTTTGTTGATGCCTGAACTATGCTCTCCCAGTTGCTTCCGAGGTTCGCACCAAACTCGATGATCAAGGGACCAAATACCTGCAAAACCAAACAAAACCAAAACTGGTGTGATTTTTGTCACACGGACTCCGATGGTTAAATTGGCAAGAAGAGAGTTGATGAGCATAGTGATTATGGGGTTATTTTTGCTTACCTTAGGGTTAGACAACATGATTTATTTATAGTCGCTTGTAAGGTTTTAAAACCTTCTAAATGTGTCCTAGATGATTGTTGTGAAGGCTCAATGTTTCGTAGACAACAGAGGAGAGAGATTGCTGGACTTGACACCGAGCAGGGGTATCAATCAGTTGGCATAGGAACCGGAGGAGAGATCGAGTAATCTCCTGACCCAAAGGCCAAGATATCTTGGCACCTAGGTGGGTCGGCTATCAAAAATGGGTCGACTCTTATGTTATGGGCCGGCTCCAGTCGTCGATGACCTCGGGTTTCTTCACGGTCCGACCTTTATTCTCGTTTGGACGGTTTTGTTTCCTATAACAATTTCTATCGATGTTTCTATTCATACCAATATTTAAAACCTTGATTTAAACTTCATAAATAGAATTGGAATCGGTGATGAACGTGACTAAGTTATATTTTGGGTAAAGTCAGATGCGGACTTGTGAGATATTGTTCATGCGTGCCAAAAGTCGAGGGAAACCAAACTTTTATTTATTTATTTATTTTTTCTTTAGCAAAGGAAAAAAGAATGAACGATCTTTGATTTGATCTCTTGCATCTAGCAATTCAACGGCATAGATTATTTTTTTACGAGGTCTCTTTTCCTTTTCTTATTTTTTAATCGCCAATAGAAAAAAGTATCTTCCACCAAAATAATTATATATAAAAAAAAGCCAACACATATACACAATTTTATATTTTTAGGAATACTTATCTCATGCCCACCTAGGAGGGATGTTCATGGGAAGGGACGGGAAGGTTTCTCCCTCAGTGCTCCCATTTTATTTTTCATTCCTCCAAAATTTTTGCAAGRATTAGAGTAGAAATTCTTCGTTGGAAATGTGCGGAAATTGGATTTTTTGAAGAAAAATTTACCACATTTATTTTGTTATTTTTAAAATTATTTCTCAATTATAAAAACTGTTTTAATATTCATCTCAATATATTGCATGGGTAGAGAGGAATAGGTTTTTTTTGTATATGTACCTATAGAGTGAATAATAAGACTCTTTTAGTGTATATATATATATTTTTTTTAAAAAAATGAGGCGGGGTGGAGAACCAAGACAATGAGTATATTCCACGTCTCAATCCTCCTTTAGATGATGGGAAAAAACACTCTCTATCCTCACCATGCAAGAAAATTAAACGGGGATTCTCTGCCTCGTTTAAGCAGGTCTCCGACCCTTCCCGTAGAAAAAATAACATCCCTATACCCCCAAGACATGCATAACATATTATATTCATACTTTAAGGCGTAGGATCGTAACCCAAGCCTAAGGTAAGTATTTTTTGGCTACAACTCACATAAASAGGTAGGTTGACACATGTAAGTTATATCTACCTATATTTATACTGACACCACCATTCAAATTTTGACAGCTATTTCATTTTCTCCGAAAACAAAAACGTTGTTTCTTTTTCCACATCCCTCCTTTCTACTCATTGTCAAAATGTTAATGATAATAAAAAAGGGATTTCTAACCTCAATGAGTTTGCACGCCAACTCCGTTACCAGTCTTTTAAAGCAACTAATACAATGGTTTATCTTAGCAGTCAGCCGCCTGTTGGTCTACATTTCAGGCGTTATGATATTACTCGCACTCCTTTTTATACATCATTAATGGATATATTATTTCATTTTATGAGCCCCGGACATTGTGGATAACTGAATGAACAAAAGTATTTTCATACCTAGAGAATTTGGCGATTATTTCCCCCATCGTGCAAGGAATTATTCAACAAAAAGTGGATCCCACAACCCTCGTTCCTTGTTGTTTCCGTCTCTTTTTGATTACATATATTACACCAAAGTCCACTTTCTTCTCCCTCTGTTATTCTTTTTTCGCCTTTACCATTTCGATCTATGGCCTCACACTGCTCTCAATTTCACCTTCAAAACAAGAAGCCCAAGCACAAGCACCAACAATCTCACCAAATGGATCATCTCCCTCACGATATTCTTCTCCACATCCTTTCCCGGCTACCCTTTTCATCTCTTGTTCAATTCAGGTACGTTTGCAGGTCATGGCGGCTCTTGGCCCAACACCCACAGCTTCTCCATTTCCACACCCCCCCACGCGATGAAGATCAAGATGACAACTTTCGCTGCTTAATCTTCCACTGCGATTACCCCATCAGGAATCACCTCTATTTCGTCGATTTCCCTGCCTTCAGACATGATAAAGAGCCCGTCAAGAGGGTTTTCACTCCTTTCTCTGCTGCAATGCCAGAGTACGATGTGGTAGGTTCTTGCAATGGCTTGCTCTGTTTGTCTGATTCTCTTTACAATGATAAGCTGTTTATATACAACCCCTTTACTAGAGATTACCTGGAGTTGCCCAAAACCAAGGAGTTTTTGAACCCTGATGTTGTTTGTGGGATTGGATTTCACCCACAAACCAAGCAGTTCAAAGTGCTTAAAATTGTCTACTCTAGAGGGTTCCGTCGGATTAAGAGATACTCTTCTCACCATTCGGAAGTTCAAATCTTCACTCTGGGAACTTCCAATTGGAGGAGCATAGGCAAAATTTGCCACCATCTCGCTCAGGGGCAGTCTCAGGCCGTCGTCAACGGCAGACTCCACTGGGTTTCTCTGCCCCGGCGGTACCACCTCGGCCGCAGCCTCGTCTCGTTCGACTTGGCCGACGAGCAATTCCGAGAAATTCCGAAGCCGGAATTCGGGAGCTTGAGCAGATGCAACTACCATCTGGTGATTCTTGATGGCTGCCTCTCCGCCGCGGCCTACTGCAGTTACGGCAAAATGGAGATTTGGGTGATGAAGGAGTATGGCGTGASGGAATCTTGGGTGAAGAGGTTCAACATTGGGGCTTACATGCCCAAGGCTCTGAAGCAAGAGGCAGAGGAATCGTTCAGAGTCTCAAAGATTGTGCTGCGGGGCAGATTTGTGAGGGTTCTCTGCATTTTGAAGAGTGGGGAGATTTTGCTGGAATATAGAAACAGAGCCCTGGTTGTTTTCCAACCAAACACTGGGAAATTCAGGGATGTTACTTTCCAGGGCATGCCCAATTGGTTCCAAACTGTTGTTCATTTTGGGAGCCTCAGTCGTATGGATGCCCTCCTCGAATAGTAGGTTCAAAGTTCAAACCATACCCATTATTAATTATGTTCAAAATTACCAAACTGAACAGAAATTGTGTTGTTCAAATGATTGGTTACTTTTTCTGCATCTTTTGTAATCTTACGGTAATCAAATAGAAGCAGAAGAAAACAGAGAGAGGGAGGGGGGCCTGTTTTGAGCCATACGTAGTTTTGTGTAGCTACCAATTATGAATGTATTAGATTAGAATGAGTTTGGTTGAAACTCTATATCTCACTTTATTGTGTAATATGATTCTTATACCATCTCTACTACACAAGGGAGATAATTTCTGACTTGTGAGTTACCATTCTCATTCACTCTGTGTTGGATACACCTAGTCCTCAATACAAGCAACCTAACAGATTATAACTGGGATTTTTCCTCTTCTGCGGCCGTGAGCAAGCACAATTTAAACCAATGTGGTAAAGGAAATATGAGAGAATAAACGACACAAAGTTTTATACCGGTTCATCCCAAGCATGAGTTACGTACGTTCTTCCACAATGTGCGGGTTCTGCTATGATTGAGAATATTACAATGGGTCACAAACTCTCTACAAAGTTCTTTCTAAATGCCTTAATAATAACCATCTAGCTTCTAAGCACTACAACAATAGGTACTTAGAGATACAATAATGAAAAACTTCATTGAGACACGAGAATAGGTTGCCGACGACGCTCCACAGTCCAAAAGATTCGTTCTCTACTCTATGCTGTCAAAAACACTGCTGCCCAACAAATTCTGCCAAACAAAAAACCTAAAACCGCCGAGCTACCGTTTTTATAAATCGTGACAGCGTCATGGTGCTATGGATGCGAAACAGTATGCACGTACAGTGCTGTCTCCTCAGCAAAGAAGTCCCTCCAACTTGCTTCTTCCATCCTCTTTCATACTTKCTTCATTCTGCTTCTATTTTGGCTCCACGTTCCTAACACCTYGCACGTTGCTTTACCTCATTTACACAAACAAGAGGGCAACTATTTTGAATATGGACGAATTTACAATTCCAAATATTGATACATAATACATACTGACACACACGAGAAGAAAAACATTATTATATGCTTGACGAATTCCGCCTTAGGCGTAGGCGCGCCAACACATTTTCTTCACCAAGCAGAGCCTCAACCAAGCCTTCCAAACCTCGCAAACAACAAAGTTTAGATATCGATTTTAAGAAGATAGACACAAGAAATGAACTGCTGTTACCATTTGTGTAGTGTCTGCAGTCATGGTGACCAATCCTCAAATTCAAGTCCCAACTTCCGTTGAACTTGCGTGCCATTTCTATGCCGTTCGCTTCACAAGTTCCAATGTGCCAACATTTCTTTCTTGGCAGCCTCGACAACTTCCTCTCGAGAACAACCCCTATTACCAAATTACAATTTCTGTTAAACTATATTACAAGAGAGAGTAAACAAACTGTGCGTAATCTTATTAATGAAATAAAGTCTATATATATAGACTACTTGAGTTAGGTACACACAGTAACTAAACTACAAGCTTTTTAAGTTGTCTTAAATTGGAGTAATGAGATAAATCAGTAGTTAAAAACCTGGTACTGCTTTTCCAGAAAGAGCAGCCAGTGCGACTTGTATATCTTCCGGATCTTCAGGTTGAAAATCAAAGACCAAAGCCTGTAATCATCTCCAACGACATCAGGAAACGCCAACATCTACTGTTGTTGTTGTTCAAACCAAACTAAATTGTTATCTGCAGAGAAGAATGTAATTGGAAAAGGGAAGAACCTGAGAATGAGGAGGAGGGGATGAGGGTGCGATGATAACCATGAAATGCTGCAAATCCCAGTTGTTGAAAGAGTAAGCAGCAGAAGCAAGCAATTGGGCAGGGCCTCTGGTGGCTCTTAGGGGCACTGCCGCCACATACACGCCTTCTCCGCCTCTCGCCACCGCCGATTCSGTGGACAGAGAGGCCATWTGTTGTTCTCTGGCGACTGCCCTGTAATCTGTACGGATGATGCGAACAATTGAGACTAGTTTTGCACCTCAGAATTCACACACGGGAAACTAGAAAGGAAACATCTCCCCTCTTTGGCTGCTCTGGCTCTACAAAGCCCCATTCCGGGCCCGGCCCAATTAGTTATTATTATTTTTACTTGACTACAACAATTACGGTCGGAGATTCGAACTCATCAGTTCTTGATCAGATACAGGTGCCAATCACCCTTGAGTATTAAAACTGAAGAAGATTTACTGTAGGAGCCAACTGACTCAAGGGGATAGCTTCTCGACGTTATCKCAAAGAGGCCAAAAAACGAAGGCATGCGGATTAGGTTGTGACAYTGAAATTGGTCGTAGCATTTAGACGCTATGCTTCTTATTTCGTTTTAGGTTTAAGTGTTCATGCACAAWCTTTGAGGGTGGCTGTGCAACGTGTTGATAGCAGAGAGACAGAGACAAGATCCAAGGTTGTAAAGTGTTGTYGGAAGCTATGTRGTTTTTGTCGAGACCTCTAGAGAGTGATTATTGTCTAGAGTTGTATCCCATTTGTATTATCACAAATCATGGTAGAACTCATATATTGCGGAAGATTGGACGTAGCCATAGTTGGATGAACCAATATAAATCTCTTGTATCGTGCTTTCTCTTATTCTTTTATTACGTAGTTTACTTTGACTTSTTGAATAACTGTAGAAGGGAGAAAATTTCRTGGTTAACTATTTTGTTGTGCACATRGTAACAACAAAGTATGTTTCCCAACCRTTAACGTAACTGGTAAGGATTATATCAAATGAAACAGAAGAGTGATATCAAATATCAAATACACTTGTAACTTGTTCAAACTTATTGATCTACTTGAAGTTTTATAAGACATACMGAGGCAAGAACAAAAGTACATTATTAGTGAAGTTTTCTTCTCTCTTACATTGAATTCAATATTTTCATAGGGATATATGGTTGTAACTTGTAAGGGTGTAAACAAAGTAGCAAAGACATGGCATTCCAAGTCCAAACACAAACAGACGTATCCACRGCCACAGAACACAAATACAAGCTTAAGGTCCCTCCCTATGCCTATTCCCCCTTTTGCCTTATTACACACTCCCACTCGATCAACTAACTTGACTCACAGTTCAGATACACAAACTCTGCATTCAATTCAATGACCAATATTAAATTTTTCTCAAACCCCATTAAACTAAAACCATTTTGTTACATTACTCAGCTGCAGCTTCCTCTTTGGCTTCCGCCGCCTTCTCCTCCACCTCCACAACCTCTTCTTCCTCCGGAGCTTCGGATTCCGGTTCCGCCGGTGCCGGTGCCGATGGCGGAGCCGCCTCCTTTGATTCAGGCTCTTCTTTAGTCTCCTCCACGACAGGCTCAGGCTCAACCTCAGGCTCAGGTGCCACTTCAACCGTCTCTGCTTCTTTTTCCTCTGTTTTGTCTTCAGCTGGCTCTTCTTTTTTTTCTTCTTCAGCAACTTCTTCTTCTTCTTCCTTGGCCTCCTCTTCTACTACTTCTTCCTTAGTTTCATCCTCAACAGGAGCTTCAACGGTGTCTTCTTCCTTTGGCTCCTCCACGGCTGGCGGTGGTGCCACCGAAGCCTCCTCCTCAACCTTCGGCGGCGCCTCCACCTCGGCCGTTTCTTCTTGAAGAGCTTTCTCCGGTGTTACAACCTGCAACAAATCCTTCGTCTCAGATTAAGAAAATTCTCCCCATATCAAAAGTTAGAACGTAAAATCAACTTAAATTTTGGATTATATAAACTCAGATACTTAAAAAGTGCATCCAGTTTTACCTCTGCAGTAGCCATGTTAAGACTCTACTAGAGAAGAGAGAAAAATGGAAGCAGAAAAGAAAGAGAAATGGGATGGAAGAATGATGAAGAAGAGTAGTTTATATAGGACAGCGGAGTGGCAGTGTAGAGATGAATTGAGATTTGAGAACTGAGAATTGAAATCAAGTATTCATGTGGGGTCTCAATTTTTTTAGAAAAAGAATCTTGAGATTTGACAATKTACCTCACAGAAATCAAGCAAAATTTTCTCAATCTCTAATTTACTTGAAATTCCTAAACAACCTCAATTTCAAGTGATAGAATGGTGGGTGTGTATAATTACTCTTSGTTGAGTTCTTGACAGGTTCCAAACTTAATAATTTTGCTTCACCTCACTTAAATATGGTATAAGATGTCAAAATGAGTATAGYTCGGCACTAATTGGTATATAAAGTTCGATCATCTACTCTAGAATCTAATCTAGAGTATTAAAAAGTATAGAATGGATTCAGTAATTTTTTCTCAAATTTAATAGGAAGAGTAAATCATTATTATAATATCAAATAATACACATGTGRAAGAAATCATTAGACTGGATAGCCAACAAATCTTGGGATTGAAGCGAGACAAAAATAACATTAGTTTCTCTTACTCTTTCTAATTTGAAAAAGCTTAATTGCTCGCTAAGAAATACAAAAATTCTGACTCAAATTTTATCTATATAATCAGATTTGATTAGTTTAAAGTTCAAACTTATAAGGATTGTAGCAGCCAACCAAAAGAAATAATAAAAGATAATAATGATGATAAATGATATAGCAGCCGGCTTTTACTTATTTATTTATTAATGAAAGGAAACCATCGTGGGGTGTGATTTTCTGTGCTACGTGCAGCCGGGGCTGTGTAGGCCGACAAAACTACAAATCTTTTTTTTTACCAAGGCCATCCGTTTGTTACAGTTTTAACCTTTTCCTTTCACTTTACACTTCCCTATTTTAGTGAATTACAAATTTAAAAGTTCAGAGATAAGACTTTTAATTTTAACAAATAATTAATTTTCCAACTATTCACAGTTAAATCAAGAATAACCCACTGTTTTTTTTCTTTAATACTTCACGAACCTCTCAATGAAAATAAGTATTTTAACCAGAACTATACGGGGCATTTCTTATTTCTTGAACATTAGTTAGTTTAATCATAAAATTTCGTTTAAATCATATTTAATTTTTAGTCCGTCAATTATGATTTTGCTATTTGAAATATTTAATTTCATGTATAGTACAGTTTAAGAGAGAGAAAAAATCTTGAGTTGAGATGGGAGATGGTGGAGGAGGGGTCCAGGAAGTGCAATTCCGTCGAAGAAACGTATGAAATACCGACGTGGCACATGAATGGTGTGTGATATAATTGACTCATCATAAAGGAAGGGGCCCACTTGTGAACGTGATTGGTGATGACGGGGTGGAGGGGCCCACTTGGCCGCCACATGGCAAAAAAGTCTACGAATGAGTGAGCCTGATTGGATGAGGTGGAGGCCAGCCAAGCCCCGCATGCAACCTTTTTCTGATTAGCGTTTTCCACCTTCCAACTAATATATATCTTTAATATTGGCAAAAACTTTCAGTTTCAAATTTCAATTCAACGCTCATGCATTTGAAAAATTCAAAAAATAAAATCAAAGTTTTATTAATTCTATACATTTATCTCAATCATCCGCCACAAGCATAAGCGTGCCTTATTTATTTATTTATTTTTTTAAGAATTCAACGACTAGTAGCTGTAGGATCAAACTAAATTAGCAAAATAATTGATTGAAAAGGGGATTAAAGATCATTAACTCAAAAGATAATAAAGATTTTGTATCGACYGGAAATTTTATCATTTAAATTTTGTATTTGAAGCCATTTTGAAAGTTGGAAAAACTAAAATGAAAGTTAGATTGAAATACCAAAAGGAACACAATTTATTGTTCCTATATTAGAGAAAAACAAATTGGTTATTTATACACTAAATTTTAATAAAACCCAAATACAATACAATAGTTAGAGGCAGGCAGGCATGATGGGTGGGGGCGACGAGGCAGGAAAGTTCTGTCAAAAGTAGGCAAAAGGTTATCTCTCTTTAGGACGGGCGGTGGCTTGGGTTGGCCCACACCAAAAGTGGATCCCGCCTCCCACCGAATAAACTCATGACACGTGGTACGCATGGTCAATGCTGACTAGGCCTCTCCCGACTTCTGATTGGACAATTTTGATTCGAATCACTTGGGTTTGCCCTCTTCAACTCTATCATGATTTTTTTCTTGGAATAGAACAAGTTGGTGGTGGATGATTTAACTCACGACCTCTTGATATATGTGTCAATTACGGCTGTGTTAAGTTCATGTTTGACATTTCATCGTAAATTATGGATTTGTTTAAAGAGCAAAAACTGTTTCTCACCGCATCAATAACTTTTCAAGGACGGTATATTTTTAGAGACAAATTTATTGTGTATACTCTAAACTATGCAAGATATTTTTATTCTATTGGGTAATTAGAATAGTGTGATCTAGGGTAAAATTATACTTCAATTTATTCATAATCAAGTGGATAATGATTAGTGAAATTGAGTTACTTAGAGTAAAAGAATATTTTTAGAAAAATAGCAACAACTTTGGTTTTATTGGTGTTGTTATTGTAGTTTTGTCTAAGTGATTGTTACTTCACCTTTAGATTCAAATAAAAACAAAATTTACTAATTATTATATTTAGACTAGATGATGGAACTATATTATAATCATGACAAAACTCCTTTATAGAAAGTGATATAGCTTAGTGAATTTTTAAGAAAAAAGTTTTTCCATTTTTGAAAGGTTAGAAGCCAAATCAAACATTCATTTCGCCCGATTCTTAATGCAACTTAAAAGCTATAATCAATTTGAGTCATAAATCAGAAGTTCTTTATTGAAATGATATCAAAATATATTTTTGTCACATATAGAGTAGGTTGGCTTGGGGAAAAATGATCTACTAAAAGGAGTTGGATAAGTAATTGAATATGGCTTCAAAAATTGCCATGGACGAAAAAATAGATATCAGGACAGACCACTTATCTGTCCTCAGAAGTTTGCCCTTAGTAGTAAGTATAATAGCAATACTTTTCTCTTTCTTTTGAAATTTGATCTCGCTCTCATTTATCTATAAAATAATAAMGCCATCACCAACTTGGCTCCAATTATGAGCATATTGCTGAAGGGGTCGTGTTTTATTTTATATAAGGTTTTGTGAATGTTAAAATATTGATGTCATCAAATTAGCATTGGAATTAATTAATTTTCAAATTCATTATTCCCACTCTATAAATGATAAGTAAAGAAAATGAAAACAATGATAGTAGATTTATTGCTGTTTTTGTTAGCTTAGTGTTTGCTAACGAGTATATGACTATAAATTTTATACACAATTCATAGTTTGAGATAATAAAAAATTTGGTTAAAAGGAGATGTTCTAATTATAGACCAGATAAAAACTAGTTGGATTACCTCTCATGCAGACTCCTTTTGAGAAATTCAGTGCATGCCTACTTCAGTTGTCTTKCGTAACAGTCCTCATCTGTCATGGGTTCCACCGACTGCTGATAGCTTGACGCTAAACACAGATGCCGCATGCAAGGAGACTATTCAAGATACCGGTGTGGGTTTTATTTTTTGGGACTCTTCTGGTACGATTTGTGCAATGGATCCTTCTTCCACCCATTCTATCTTCCGCCGCTTTTAGCCGAGCTTCTCGCGATTCTACAAGGATTGGAACATGCTCAAACTCTTAATTGCAGCAAAATTATGGTGGAATCGGATTCCCTTCAAGCAATTTCTCTTCTTCAACAAAAGTCGAAATCTTTGGCAACCTCAAACGTCTGGGTCCACGACATCTTGCAGCGAGCTGGTCTTTTTGATTCTTGCTCCTTCAATTATGTCCTTCGTGCTCTAAACCGCCCAGCACATTCTTTGGCTAAATGTAGGTTTCAATTGGGTTTTTCCAATTTCTCACATCTTCTTTTCCCCTCTCACTTTGTGGCCCTGGTGAGGAGGATCTGTTGTCTTCTATTGCCCACGTGGCTTCTTCTTAATACATAAGCATTATCATTTCAAAAAAAATTATAGATCCATATTACTCTTATTTTTATTTATTTATTTTTATTTTTATAGATGTGAAAAT